CGCTAAGAATTGCTCAGCGCATGCGACTAGAGGCCTCACAGCTGGAGGGTGTGGCACGCAGAATGATGGTAAGGGAGTATCCACATTGCTTTGGGGTCTGCAGTAAATGACGGGGCCACTGAAAAATTGCTAGGGCAAATATGTCTCCTTTGGCATGATGATTAAATGCAAACATTTAATGGGTGTCTAGTCTTCTGCAAGTTCAGGTGAGGAAGTAGGCATGTAAAATCAGAGTTAATCAGTTAACTGATTAAACATCCGGTTTGATCAATGAAGCAGGATTTGGGTGGGGGACCACTTCAGCTTGGCTGGAGCAACCCCCAGCCTATAGGGCTCCTGCTCCCAGGCTGGGGCTGGCTCCCAGCCCCTGCTGGAGCAGCCCCCAATGACTGGTTCCCTGTGGACAGAGGTTGCTCCAGATGCCAGAGCAGCCCCTGCCTGCAGGGCACCTGGATCTGCTGTGGACAGGGACTGCTCTGGATGAGAGCAGCCGCTGTCCACAGCAGGCCCCCTGCAGGGCTGGAGCAGCTCCCTGCCTGCGGCAGATGGAGAGCTGTTCCAGCCCCCACCAATTATTGGGTAACTGGAACCGGTAAGCATCACCCATTAAGGGGGATGTTAACCTTTCACCTCCCCAGTGAGGAATGGTGTGAATTTGGGATTATACAGCTCATATGTTACTTTGCACTCCACAGAAAGGTAGAATGGTGAATAGCCAACTTGTCAAACATTACCCTTAAAGAGGTCTGAGCATCCCTGTTTCTTGCCACTGGAGTAGATTCTTACTAGCTCAGAAGTATCTAAGTAGGTTTGTACATTGGAAACTGAGACGTTTCCATAGTGTCTCTCCCTATTTTTTTAAATTGGCTGAGGGTAGTGGGCTTTCACAACACCCATAGCCAGCTGAGGAGTTCAGAGAGGATTTTCCAGTAAAGGTTGAAAGATCTTGAATGTGTGCCAGGAAGAGGCATGTCCTAGCAAAGGCTTGCCTGTTAATTGTCCTCTTTTCTACCTAGGTGGAGAGTGATTACTGCCTATTACTGGCCTTGCCTTGTGGACGAGACCAGGAAGATGTAGTGAATCAGACTGAGTCACTTAAGGCTGCATTCATCAGTTACCTGCAGGCTAAACAAGCTGCAGGAATCATCAATGTCCCCAACCCTGGCTCCAATCAGGTATTTGCATGGAACAAGTGACATTTTGCAGTTAAAAACAAAATTAAAATAACACCATTCTCAGTAGCGGTCCATATACTACTGATCCTCCTGTGTATTCTAGAAATGTACATCTGTCTTTTTATCCACCTGTGAGTCTGTCTGTTCAAGAACTTCTCCTAAAGGGTAAGAAATAGTGACACCAAATTTGATATGCAGCTTCCTCTTCCCCTAACTGAAGGCAAGGTCAGGGTTCAGTTGTGCTAGAAAAACCGGAAGTGCCAGGAATATGACTGTTTCATAACATGGAAAGGGAGGGGATGGTTGGAGGGATACGATATTCAGTGGCCATTGGGAACAGGGAACCCTTTACATGTAGAGTGACCATTGAGGGGGCAAGTTGTATCACCAAGAGAGTGGCTGCAGGGCTGGGGCTCTAACATCTTGCTTGCCACCAGACTGGATAAGTGGTGCCCCCCGTTTCCAGGAGACAGACCAGGGGTACAGGGAGGTAGAAAGTCCCTGCTGACCCCTGGTACAAGCTGGCAGGCGGGATGCACAGTCCCCACTGCCCTGGGCCAGCCCCAGAGTGAAGCTTGGGATGAAGCCAGGGGGCCACCCCTGCCCTGAGCCCCTCCCTTCTCCCACCCCACTGTTCTTAGCCCCCCCCTCAAGCCTCCACCCCTGTGCTCCTGGCCTCCTGTCCTGAGCCTCCCCCAAAGCCCTGCCCTGACCTCATGTACTCACACCCCCATCCTCCTCCCCTGAAGGACCCGGGCAACATCAGGTAAGTCTTCTAGTCGCAATATAAACCAAAACAATCCTTATATTTTTAGTGGCAAGGTGCATGATTGTGTGTTTGAAAGAATTTAGCATGTGATACTAGCCTTTTATTTCTTTGGTGTAAATAGAGTAAATCATTTAATTCTTAATAGCAAACTGCTACACCACAAGAAAAATTTTGTTTTGCCCTTTGTTCCTGCTTTGATTTATAAATTTCTGTCTTTTTAAAAACAAAACCAATCTTTGCTCTTTTTGAACATTGGAAATCTGAAGTCCTCAGTTCCCTGTTTTTCATGTGATATCACAGGAACATTTTTTCAGGACATCTGAAATACCTTTTTCTTTACATCAGTCAAAAAGTTTTTGTGTAACTACAAAATGCTTGTTCCAGATATATTGCTGCACTGAATTTGATTTGCTCTGTTTATAAGCCACATCTGGAGTATTGTGTCCAGTTCTGGGCCCCCAATTACAGGAAGGATGTGGACGCATTGGAGAGAGCCCAGCGGAGGGCAACCAAAATGATTAGGGGGCTGGAGCATATGACCTGCGAGGAGAGGCTGGGAGAGCTGGGCATGTTTAGTCTGCAGAAGAGAAGAGTGAGGGGGGATTTGAGAGCAGCCTTCAACTTCCTGAAGGGGGTTCCAAAGAGGCTGGAGAGAGGCTGTTCTCAGTAGTGACAGATGGCAGAACAAGGAGCAATGGTCTCAAGTTGAGGTGGGAGAGGTCCAGGTTGGATATTAGGAAAAACTATTTTACTAGGAGGGTGGTGAAGCACTGGAATGGGTTACCTAGGGAAGTAGTGGAGTCTCCATCCCTAGAGGTGTTTAAGTCTCGGCTTGACACAGCCTTGGCCGGGTTGATTTACTTGGGATTGGTCCTGCCTTGGGCAGGGGGCTGGACTTGATGGCTTCTGAGATCTCTTCTAGCTCTATGGTTCTATGATTCTATGATTAGGAACAAAAAGTCCATTGGAGTGAGTGATCAGTTTGAGTGATGTGGAAGAGAGAAGTCAGATAAATGTAGACGCTGTCAAAGCTGCTCTTTTGATCAAAATGACTATTAATGACACTTGCTTAGTGTTCCATGATCACCCATTGAGACACTAAGTGTGTGTGGGGGAGGGAGGGGGGAGATACTTCTCTCCAATGAATGTTTCTACTGTGTCAGAAGCTGGGCGTAGCAATGTGAACATGTGCTTCAAAAATGCCCTTTTGTGTGACTATTCTGCAGAAAATGTTGCAACCAGCCTCCCAGGTTTTGATCGCTTTCCATAAGGCACTGTAACCTTAAGCTGCAGCTTCTCTAATCTCTTCCCTCTTTTACCTCTCCCCAAACTGAGGTCAGGGTTAGACTAGAAAGTTAGATTGACCTAGCTACACGAACCACCCAAACACTCTGAGCGATATAGTTAAGATGACCTTACTAGGGTTCTTAAATATTGATTGATTAACTAATTGAATAGTCGATGGGATTTCCATTGACTATTTGAGTAGTCAGTAAGGACTAGTGCATGTTCCGCCTTTGAAATGTACAAGAGCCCTGGCCGGGGCTCTTGTACATTTCAAAGATTGAAAGGCTGCATGGAGCCCTGGGCCAGCAGGGAGTCCCTCGCTGACCCCAGGCTCCATGCAGGCCTTTCTGCTTTGAAATGTACAAGAGCCCCAACGGGAGCTCTTGTATATTTCCAAGTGGCAGCGCCCTCATGGAACATGAAGCCTGGGGTCAGCGGGAGACTCCCCACTAGCCCTGGGCTCCATGCAGCCTTTCAATCTTTGAAATGTACAAGAGCCCCGGCCAGGGCTCTTGTACATTTCAAAGGCGGAACATGCACTAGTCCTTACTGACTACTCAAATAGTCAATGGAAATCCCATCGACTATTCAATTAGTTAATCAATCAATATTTAAGAACCCTAGTAAGGTCATCTTAACTATATCGCTCAGAGTGTTTGGGTGGTTCGTGTAGCTAGGTCAATCTAACTTTCTAGTCTAAGTTGGATAGTCGATTGGTTGCTTACATCCCCAGACTTTACCCCTGGTATAACCAGTGCTAGGTCTATGGAAGAATGTGTCGGGTGATGATCTAGCCCGAGGGTGGCCAACGTGTTACAGGCAAAGAGCCAAAATAGTGGTGGACATAGTGCAAAGAGCTGGGGGGGGGGGAATTGTCAAGCAAAAAACAAAAAACCCCAGCCGCCGCGTTTGGTTGATGCTGCCCCTTTAAATGAAAATTCCGGTTTGGCTTTTTGGCCACATCAGGCTCCTGTCAGCCGGTGCCATTTTGGTTCACCACTCCGGATGGCTTCCCTGAACCCGGGGGCCCTTGGTTGGGGTGCAGGGGCAGCTTTGCGAGCCCTGAGGTATGCAAGCGGCACTTTCTGCGAAGAGCCTCGTGCGGCTCGCGAGCCGTGGGGTGGCCACCCCCTGGTCTAGCCCTTGCTGCATGGTGAGGTGAATTAACTACCGTGATGGGAGAGTCTCTCCCATTACAGTAGTGAAGGTCTACACTGAGGTTTTAGGGCAGTGCAATTAGATGTGCCACGTAAGTCCGGTGGAGGATACTGAGTCCTAGAATGTCTGAAGCTCTGGTTTCGAGATGAAGAGCTGTTCCTCAGGTAACCTCACTGTATGAAAGCATTACCTAGGTCCTCTAAAGATCCAGCAAAGAGAGGGGAATAAGAACTGCATTTCATGTGGCTTTTTAATAAACCGATGTAAACTTTTAAGAGACATTTGTGATGGTTTTTCTATGTCACTACTTGTGAGCCACAGTTCACCTTTCAAATTTGGCATTGTTTAGTCGGATTTCCATATTGTGGCACCAAATAAGTTTTCTGGGTGCTTGTCCAGTCAGTTCATGGAAAAACAAATATAGGAATTCCTAACTGTTTTTCATGCTTGTCTTAATTTTTTTTTCTTTCCCAGCCTGCCTATGTTCTGCAGATATTCCCACCCTGTGAATTCTCTGAAAGCCACTTGTCCCGTCTAGCTCCAGACCTCTTAGCCAGCATCTCCAACATTTCTCCTCACCTTATGATTGTCATTGCATCGGTATGAGCTGTTTATTGGTCACTGACTTTTCCAAGGCCCTGCAGCAAAAAAAAAGAGAGAGAAAAATTAACGACACAAGAAAATGCTGCCAGACTACCAGCCTCCTGCCCTAACTGGCCTCGATCAAACTGTTGCTGGGTAGTGGTTCTGCTACCTTGTATGTTTACATATTGCTTTAGGTTATGGACAACAGATGCACTCAGCAGGTGGACTGGTATTGGGTTTCCATGCCTCCTTGTGGGGAAGATAAAGGATGGCTATATTTTTTATCAAAAAAGAAAAGAAAAAAAAAGAACCTGAACTGCCTTTGCACTAAATTAGTGACTTGGACCTTTGCACAGTTGAAGACATGCTGTGACGTTATGGATGTCTTGACACACATTAACGTGCGTTGTGGACTAAACGCAGGACCTGGGAACTTCTGCTGAAATCTGTGGGTCAAGGATCATTTCACACATTCTTATTTTTTTTTTCTCTGGATGTGACCCTTCCTCTCCTCCACTCCCTCTGCTGCAGTCATCTTCTCTTCATCTGGGATGCACAGTTTACACTGAAAAAATAAAACACAAGGGAGAGCGATTTCCCTTCCTGGTGGGATGTGCAGAACTGAGTGGGTGTGTGTATATATAAATATATATATAATATATATAAATATATATAATACTGACTTTAAAAAATCAAATCCCTACAACATACATTTTTTTTTAATCTGTGCCAAAAATGTGTTTTCAGAGAAAATCTTATTTTCATACTCAGACTTTGTATTGTCACTCATTTGTAAGTGCGCTTCATTTAAACATTACTTTCCCTTGTCCCTTGTCTCACAACATGTGGAAGTGTTATACACTTGTACAAAGACTTTGACCCTCCTTCTCCTCCTGGCCCTTTCTCCTTGCCTTCCCTAACACTTATTAATTTATGGAACTGTTTTCTCAGCGCAGTTTTGTTTTGTGTGTCCATTGGATTACAAACTTTATTAAAAAATACAAAACATGTTGAGCCTGGATGTGATCCATAGTTGCTCTGGAGAGGGAGGGAGAACTCAGCGATCGAGAACCGGTGTGAAAGTTTGGACCCTCCAGTGGATATGTGCTGGTTCCTGAAAGTGTACATAGGAGCTTTTTAATTTTTCTTTTTTGTTGGTGAGTTTATCTTGTTTAAAAAAAATTATCAAAGATCAAATTGAACTTTAGCGTTTGGTTTTTGTGGTGTAAATATTTGTAAAATTCCAAAATATTGGTTCTTTATTGGGTAATGTCAAAGGCACTTTTAATTTTGATACACAGAATAAACTACAAAACCTTCAACAACACAAATGAACACATTCTAAGAAAAGCCTTGGTTTGTCGTTTCAAGCAACAGTATCTTGTCTGTGTGTTCAGAACTCGAATCAATGAATTATGTTTGAAGACTGTTGTAGCTAGAAAGTCCTTAAGTGGTTTAAATACCTGATGCTGAAGGTTCTTATCTTGCCATCAGGTCCAATTGCACGGGGGTGACGGCAGGTGCATTAATGTTGTCCGGTGGCAGGATCAGGGCCTAACTGCTGGGGCAACTGAACTCAACGATGAGAATTCGGTGTGGGTTTCTATTTGAGAATCGGTTTGAAACCTAGCAGTAAGAAACGGCCCATTTAGGTTCTTTCCATTTTGGTGAACCTCATCTGAACTGGGCTTGTTAAAGGAAAATTCCAGTGTACTATAAAAGACATTTTAATCACAGCAGTCCATTTAAAAAGAAAGCACTGAAAGAAAAACTATTGAATTGTATTTAACCATCAAGTAGGAACGGTGCCACCTTGACTATTTGAAGTAGCTATTTTAAAAATATATTTTAGTTGACGTTTGTAAACTTCATTCAAGCCTTTCAAACTAGTTATTGAATTACCTCCTCCCATGTTAGAAGTGGTTACAGTGTATTTCTTACAGGGATGTTGCTTCTCTGATCCCTACTTAGTTCTGGTAGATATTTCTACGTCAGCTGTCCCAGAGTGAGAGCGCAGCTCCACTGAATGGAAACAGACAGCGACTGTTTTGTACAAGCAATTTTACAATGTTTTTCGGTAATTCTGTAGTTCTCCAAGACACCATCATTAAGCGCTGGGGTCTTCCTTCAAACTTAATGCTAGTAGAGAACTAATTGACAGCGGAAATCATGTTGCAGTTGTACTGTCAGTTTTAAAAGGAAAATCTGTGGAGAGCATTGCAAGCAGAGCTATGAAAAGGCTGGCACTGCGTGATTAGCAGTGCACAAATGCAAACTGCCTGCTCTAGTTTTAAAATGATAAAGGGAGCTTAATTCCCCTTGGAGGTAAGTATAGATTTATATACCACATCTTCCAATAACAAGGTGGCAATGAGCATTCAGCACAGGAATACACTTGAACTGAGCTTTTCAATATTTGAATTTTTCCTGTGTCTGAAATCCTGCTTGGTACTTCCTGGATCACTGATGGGTAATGAAGGATGGCCCAGTAGTTCGGATGATAGTCTGGGACTGTGGAGATCCTGCTTCAGTTCCCTGCTCTGCTGCAGTTTCTTGGGTGACCTTAGGCAAGACAATTTCTCTATGCCTTAGTTTCTCATGGATAAATGTAGGGGTTCATCTGCATGGGCCTGAGATTTGTTAGCTGATCAGTAATTGGTGAGAATGTGGGTATTGAGGCAGAACCAGATCTGTAAGTCACTGATTGGCGAAGCTGGCCATGCCCTCTCTTAACAAACAGCTTGCTTTTTGTTGTGCCTCAACAGCTGCAGAAAGCTTTATCAGGCCTTACTAGCAAAAGTATTTTATATTTAGATTGAGAGAGAGCGCGCTAGCTCAGTTATAAGATTGCCTTCTCTAGCCTTCCCCATGCTGAGGACTTAAGGGTCCAGTTCCTCTGTTGCTAAAACCTTATTGGAGGACCTATTCCCCTTCCCCCATGCAGAGTGCAGGATGGAGAAGGCAGAAGCACAGAGATGTGTTGTCTGCTCCTCCCCCTTTCCCCCCAACTTGTGGAGTGCCTGGATTGGATCTCAGCGTATTCTGTGGTCTGGAGCCCTGCACAGATCAGCTGTGCCAGGGACCTCGATGGACTTTCTCTCCCAAGCTGTGAGCAGCCCCTCCCATCCTCACTTGTCCTGAGAAGCAGAAAAGGCTGAAGGACTCAGCAGGGGACTGCAGAGCCAGATAGCAATGAGCTGCTCCCCCAGCAGCACACTGGTACTTTATGCCCTTTGTTCCCAGCCTGCGATGTTCAGCCCCAGGGTCTAGACTCAGAGTAAGGTCAGAAAGGACCATGACGACCATCTATTTTGACCTGCACATCACAGAATGTTGCTCACCAACTCCCGTAATTGGAACCTCTGGTTGAGTTACTAAAGTCCTCAAATCATGGCTTCAAGACTTCAGGTTGCAGAGCATTCACCATTTACACTAGTTTTAAACCTGCAAGTGACCAGCGCTGCAGAGGAAGGCAAAAATCCAAACCCAGGATCTCTACCAATCTGGCGCAGGGAAAAATTGCTTCCTAGCTCCAGATCTGGTGCTCAATAGACTCTGAGCACATGGACAAGACCCACCAGACAGGCACCTGGGAACAAATTCTCTGTTGTCATTCAGAACTCTCCCCATCTAGCCTCTCATCCCAAGTCTTTGGGGAGGCTTGCTACTAGCACAGGCTGCATGGCACTCTAGGCATTCTCATCCCCTTCATAAATGTACCAAGCTCGGTTTTGAAGCCAGTTCAGTTGTGGGTCCCCTCTGGTCCCCTTGGAAATCTGTTCCAGAATATCCATTCTCCCGGGACCTAAATTACTCTGGGAAGTTTTCACCTGAGCGGGAGTTGGAATGACAAAGCTTCGGATTTTCTGTCATGGATCCAGACCCAAGAGCAGTTTTTCCTCCAGGGATAGTCCCTTTGTGCACACTAGATCAAAGCCTTTCTCTTGAGGATTCAAAGCTTGTCAGTAGAAGGGACAGGACCAGGCTATTTGATTGTTACCCCCCAAAGTTGAGCTTCTCACAAGAGTCTTGTGAGAATCCGATGGCAAACATCCACTAGGCAAAGTTGAGAGGCGGAACATAGGAAGGAAGGGCCAGTTCCTGTGGTTGTTGGGCTCCTGCTTTTTCCCCGTGTGAAAAGCAAAGACGCCCTAGAAAGCAGAGAGACTAGATATTAATTCAATAATTGGTAACCACACAAATCTTAGTGTTGGGGGTGGGACTGACAGCCGAGCTTCCTGCAGACAGGGGCTGTCAGCATCTCACCTGTTCCCTTCTGTTTCACCCCCCCCCCCCCCCCCCCCCCCAGCAGCACTGGGAAGGAGGAGGCAGCTCCACAGGATCAGGTGCTCGTAGGGAGCCAGGTTAAAAGCTGGCTCCTGCCTCCTGCTCCCCCCTTGCTGCCTCTGATGCAGAGGCAGTGGGAGGAGAGTGAGTATAGTTGATAGGATTAACCGATAAAGCCAGAGTTATTGGTTAATTGTTTACACTAACATCCCTACTAGAAAGGCTGCAGTACTCAGGAAGGCTAAACCCAGGCTCTTCATCTCCCATCTATTTGTGTCTTCAGATGCTGATGCTCCAGCAAGGGGCACAAAACCAGATCCTGCAGGCCCAAGAGTGTCTCTGTCTCCCAAGGAGAAAGGGCAACTTTCAGATTCAGATCAGGAAGCAGAAGCTGCAGCAGGAGGAAAAATGCCTCTGGTTGGAATTCTTTGAATACGGGCTTCAGAAAGGCATATCCAGTTCGGTCTCCCCCTGAGGATCCCTCTTGGTCAGAGAGGAGGTGCTGGGTGAGAAGAGCAGTGACATCAGTCTGGATACTCCCTCAGGATAAAAATAATAGAATCATAGAACACAAGGACTGGAAGGGACCTCGAGAGGTCAAGTCTAGTCCCCTGCCCTCGTGGCAGGGGCCAGCACCATCTGCACCAGTGATCTCCAACCTTTTTACACCCAAGATCACTTTTCAAATGTCAGGTCAAGCCAAGATCTACCCCTTCCCTTCCTTAAGGCCCTGCCCTCTGTTCCCCTCCTCTTCATCACTTGCCCT